ACATGCGATATTTAACGCGCATCTTGTCAGTAAAGACGGTTCTGTAATCAGCGGTAAATCTCAATCACCTGCGGGCTTTCACATTGAGCAGCATTAACTACACAGAGCCGTTGTTCACTGACGAGCTGTGCAAAAAATCGCGCGAATATGAACGTGGTTTTGTACAGCTCGTCAGTGAACAACGGCTCTGTGTAGTTAATGCTGCTCAATGTGAAAGCCCGCAGGTGATTGAGATTTACCGCTGATTACAGAACCGGCTTTCTGACAAGATGCGCATTAAATATCGCATGCGATTTATCGTGCAGCCCTAACCGAAACCAAGCCATTCACACAGATGCATATTCAACGCATTTTTAGACGGACAAATATGACTGCTGCACTCACGTCTCACACAAGAGATGTAGCCATGCAAAGTTAAAACAGTTTAAACCTTTAGAAAACACGTTGCGAATTTGTGGAGGTTTATTCCTTTTCACTACGTCTCTTATGTTTTTAAATTTACGAAATGATATTTGATTTATGAGTTAATTTAGACGTAATGCAGGGTTTTTTTTAATAGACATTGCTGCATTATTTTGCTCATTGCGCCCTCCTGTGGCCTCGGGAGACAAACCAAAAGTTTCATTCAGACCTATTTAATCTGTATATAAAACATTAGAAATTAGATATTTGTTTAATTTTTATTGTGAGTTTGACTGTTAAAACAAAAAAACATTTGTTGCTTGTCTCAATAAATTGGGTTAATTTTAAAATACGGTGGTTAAATTAAAAAAAACATTTCTATTCCTCTTTGTTTTAAAAAAAAGGTTATAAAAGATGTAAATAATTATCGATACCAAACGATATGAAACATTATATCGTTGATACATTTTTTAGCTATATCGCCCAGCCCTAATGGAGTTACTTACCTATCGAGAAGAAACAAAGCAACCTCGGCGTCCAATCGCAGGCCTTCCGCTCCTTGAGTTCTCTCCAGCGCTGGAAAGCTGATCTGTTATTTACACGGGTCCTACTACTTGCCTTATTGCCTTAAGCCTTCTTTTGTTCCGCAGACGTTTTCCTCTTTTGTTTTTTTTATCCGCCATCTCTATCTTTCTGTCGCTCGGCTCGCTAATGTCCATCCTGTGCACTGAACGCTCTCTCCGCCACATCATGAGTTGACACGCCCCTTACTGCTGATTGGCTACAAGTTTGTTTTGCTATTCGGCCCAAATCAGTTTTCTAAAGCGTTTTTGAAAAATCGCTTACCCCACCTTTAACAACTCACAATATAGCATGGCATCCCATGCCTCGATGCTTACAGTAGTAAGTGACAAATAGTCAACCTACACAGTTGGTTACACAAAATAAAGGGAATTGCGTATGCTGGCCACTAGAACAAAAATTATCAGAGGGTTCCTTTCTACACACTGTCTTGCTTTCTGTGCCTTTGGTTCTCTGGTGGGTAGTTAATCAGTAACTCAGGTGACAGGAAGGCTGACTCAACTCCAGGCGTGTGGCACACTGACCTGGTTCACATGGTGTTATGAAACCAAGACAGGGAGATAAAAGGAGCACTTTGTATATCAAAAAGCATTATGGGAGGGATGGTTAAACTCCGTGAAGATTGTTTAATGAGCCAGACATAATGTGAACGAAACGGGGTTAATGGAAAAGTGGAGAAGTACGCTGTAAAGAAACAAGCAAACTTGTACAGTTGGTGCTCAAAGAGCTTTTAGCTGGCTATTATGACATTGTTGTGCCGTTCACGTGGGCTGATCTCATAAATGCTATTGTTCCAACATGACTTTGAAGCATTATGGGACTGTGTGTCGATGATGTGCATAGTGCATTGTGGGAGCCTGTTTAGTTATATGGAACAAGTACAACTTTTATATTTCACTTAAGCAGATTGAATTGTGTTGGTCTTTATGTTGTCCAAACTAGAGACCTGCGCGGGACGGATTTTTCAGTCCCGCTCCCGCAGAAATATATCTTATCTGGTCCCGCTCCCGCCCGCGACATTCATGTTTTGTCCCGCTCCCGCCCGCAAAAGCCCGCATAAAAGTAATCTATATAGACTTTTTCAGTACATCGAAGAAATTTACGTCCCGCGGTACTCCCGCGGGAGTGCAGGTCTCTAGTCCAAACTGCTGAGAACTTCAGTTCATTCATCAACTGCGGGACAAGATCTGAGCGCTCTATTCTCTCTCTCATTGTCTGGTTCACGTAGGAGGGAAGTGGAGGAGGAGAGTGGGTGTAGAGTCATTCATCCTTAAACCTTTCCTCCCCCATCTGCTCGTGTGTCATCGCATGTCTGGCTGTGATACCCAGGTGACTTTATCGCAGCGTGAGCTGGAGTCATGGCACAGGTTCAGGACATCCCATTTGGAGACAGATTTTATTCCAAGTGAATCATAGGGATGAAAGACAAACATCCGATGAATTCTACAGGCTTTAAATTGTTAATCTAATGTTTTCAGACCACAGTTGTATGGATCCACACTGCAGTCTCTCCAGAATCTTTGGATTTTGCAATCATAATAAACAGACATGTGCCAATTAATCAAATTTGAGCTGATATAACATGTTAATGATTTTAATTGCTACAAGTGATTTTAGACATCACAACATTATAATGCACAGAATGAAATAAGGATATTCATTTTGAGATTTGCTAAATATTACGTTTAAGAGTGTTATTAAATTATTAATGTTATTAAAGATTATTTCAAATGAGAATTATATGACGGCAAAGGTAATCTAAATGTAAAAATATGGGTAATGAGCATGAACAATTAAAATTCTCACTATCGGCTAAAACCAATCCTGCAGTGTTTGAAGTAGCTTGCAAATTTGTCTTATTAAATCAAATAATATGGCAAAAACATTCATTGATAAGTTTTTTTTTTTTACATGATTTTCTAATATTAAGAACTGCATACAGTGGATGAATCTTTGTCAGCATCACTTTTAAAAGCATTTCAGTTTCTGAAAAAAGCTGTAACAAATTTAGTCATTTTAGGTTGCAGTTGAAACTAATTGTATGAGTATGGGCTAACTGATACCGATAATGGACCATATGGACATAAAATGACACTGTAAAACTTCTTGCCAACAGAAGCTGGATAGTGTTGATGGTATTAGCCTGATTATAAAGGAGATTAAGCCAACGAACAGTTAGCACCAGCTAGGCCTCGTCTGGGATGCCAGCAACTTTCTGCTTCCTGGTTCTGCTTAGTTTTTCTTGCTGTTTCCTGCAATAATGAGGAGATCAAAGTGGAGACAGCAGCACATTCAGTCCTCTGCCTGTGTTCAAAGGCTGTCTTCTCTTTGAGCAGAATCACCTTTCTGCTCAAGTCCCCTGCTGATTTTAACAGCCCCATATAGGACAGTATCCACTCTTGATGTTAACTCTATTCTGATGGCGAGAAAGGAAGAGAGAGCCAAAGCGTTTACGGCAGCATCGTTAAAACTCAAATAAAACTTTATTTGGGGAACTGGAAGAGTTGAACCGCTCTTGTGATACATGAATGCAGCAACATCCCGTAATCTCCAGAACATGAAGTGTCTATGTACAGCTTCTTCATTACCAGCAAATACCGCAAGCGAAAGCAAAGACAGAACTGGCGTGATGTCATTTCAAACAAAATTAGCCAAAACTAATTTAGTTTCGGGACATTTGCCAATTGCTGTTGGTGCAAGCATATTCACATTGCACCTATCAAATGCTTTCTTAACAGCTGTTTTCTCACCAATGACGTTTTTGTTGTGTTTTTATTTTGTTATTGAGAGGAAAGCACATAACACATATTTACATATTCATCTAAACAACGCTTCCAGCAGTACAGGCGGCATCAGGATGTTCACTAACAGTAAACTGCTGCTTAGGTATTTCGAACAAAAAGCAAAGAACGTAAAAACAAACTTCAACTATAACTGCTTTCAGCTATTTCAGTCCTCTTCAGAGGCTCTGTGGACTATAGCATTTTATCTCCAGATTGTGGATTCAGTGAGGGCCTTAAAGGCACAATATGTAAGATTTTTTTATTACTATCCAAAAACCACTAGAACAGCGTTATATATTTTGCTGACTTGTGTATTTGCATTATCCCAAATGTTTCGAAGAATGTTTAAATCCAGAGAAATAAGCAATTTTAACTAGTGACATGGAGCGTGTCCATGGTGTCATAACCCCTTGATTTCCCTTGACGACCACACAGAGTAGCATTATAACAGAACTTTCAAACGTATCTAGTATGATAAAACATCGCTGCTTTTTTTTCCTCACATACGCACGACCGGAAGGAGCGGAAGCGGTCGAATGTCGCATAATAAAAGCTCCGCTGCTTTCGAGCCGTGTGTCACGCTCGTTCAGCGGCCTTGTTTCGCTTTGATGGCTTTCAGCCTCACCCTGCTTCATTCTACTACGCTAATAAATCATTAGCTCATCCATGAACATGATTTCTGCCCGAGTCCCGTCGGATTGCTTCGGCTGTGGAGATGAAGACGACAACTCCCATGATTCCACACTCAGTCACTGCGTCATCAAACTATGCCTTTGTCTCTTTGTTTATTTTGAATATGCGCCCTCTAGCGGCGAAAATTACATATTGTGCCTTTAAGGGCAACATGTGGGTCAGGGCGAGAATATTTGTGATGCAATGCCACAGACTTTTGGGTAGTAGTTGGCTGTCAAGTCTGCACCAGTGTGGCCTCAGCAAAAGAGTGTATCAAGAGTGCATAGTTACTGCACATTTGCGCTTTTCCGAATCATAAATTGATAAATGGGATACTCTATGCTTTTGTGGACTTAACAGACATAGGCCGCAAGTGCAGAATTTGAAAGAGGGGCTAAGTGTTGTTGTGCTCAGCTAAAGAGGCTCAGTTTATGATTTTTAACAAAAACATTTGAGTATTGGAATGTTCTTGCTTGACTAGAAAGAAGCTATTATATGTAAGATACAGGAAAAGTAGAGCAAATATCACACTAGGCATCAGTAAACACGTATCTTTGAGCACTATTTGGTGTTTTCCTGTGTGGCCCCAGTTGTTTGACTCATCTCAGCATCAGTAAATCTCTTTCCGCTGGACTGTCAAAACTCAGCTAGCTGATTTCACGTGGTTGGCAGTGTGACTCTGAAATGAACCTCTGGAATGTGTGTTTGTGTGGGTGGCTGAATGTTATGGTTGCGGTTTGGCGAGGTGATTTGGTCTGTGGTTTGAGTGACATGGATGGTGGTGGAAAGCCCACAATTGTGACGCAGTGCCCTGTTGATTGTATCACCGCTCACCCACACAATGTTTGACATAGACGGTGGTAAGCAATGTGAAATTTGTAGTATTTTCTGAAACGCTCAGATGATGACACCATTGTCCCATGTAACTTTCAACTGTCTCAGCATCATCTGCATTTACTCCGAATAAAACCTCACATGTTTGGTTACACATGACACTATAGATATTATTTTTGTTTGTGTTAGTGAATGAACGTGAGGTAGTGTTGAGCTCTCATCCAAGAAAAGTAAATTGTGTGGTAAAGTTCAAAATAGATCAATGCTTGCATAGCTAATGGCTGAAAGGATGCTGGCTAACCTCAAGTTTACATTTTTAAAGAATTACACTCATTTGTGTTCTTTGCTAGGGGCTACTGCCACATTTACATGGTTGTGGCAGAATTATATTTATTGGGTTCTAATTCTACTTGCCTTTTTTTCAGTTGTGTTCAGGTAGTGGAGCACCATGCTGCTGATATCGATGTTTATCACTGTCCCAACTGTGAGCCCATCCATGGACCCTCCATGAGTAAGTGTGTGCATCTACACGTGTTCTCCCAATTTTTCCAAGGATCAGTCTTATGAATGTTTCCTTCTCTTTCACAGTGAAAAAGCGCAACAACTGGCACAGGCATGACTACACAGAGCCAAATGATGGCACACTCCCCGTGCAGGCAGGAACTGCTGTGTTTGTACAGCAACTCCAGGCCAGGAGCTTTGCCAGGTACAAGCACCTCTGGATAAAGTCTTGATTAGACGTTGAACTTTACTACTTTGACTTCGAATGTGTTTTTATGATATAATCACAATCATTAGTTACATCTCGTTACGGCTTTGGAATTTGCACCTACCTGATAAGACTTGCTGTTGATTTGTGTGTCTTGGCTGTTTCAAAGTGGCGATGAGATTCTGCTGCCGATGCATGGGAGCCAGGTGACCCAATGCTACCTGGAGAGGGAGGGCTTCCATTACCCCATTGTGGTCCATGATCTGGATGGACTGGGGCTTAAACTGCCCCCTCCCTCGTTCTCTGTCAGCGATGTGGAGCATTACGTGGGTAAGAGCTCAGTGTGTGTACACTGCATTTGCTGTCTATCAGATAACAGCCCGGGAGAGTGTCTGGCAAGTGGGGCACTAGAGCAAAAGAGACTCAATTAGACACATTTGGACTCATGACCAGACCCACATGAAATTTGTGCAATATATACATACATGCATTTATATACACGCATATATATTTCAAATAATTGCTGTTTTTTTAAACTTTCTATTCATCACAGAATCCTGGGGGAAAAAAAAATAAATAAATATATATATATATACACACACACGCTCACACTTATGTCTTCTTGATAAACAAATACAATATCGCTATAGATTAAATCATTTTCACACAATAAATAGTGATGTTTATTTCACTATTTTTATCGTGATTTAAAAAAATGTAATTTATATGATTTTTCATAGCCTGAGTGAAGCATAAAATAAAGTCTATACATAAAAAGGCATTTGAAAATTTGAAAAATAAATAAAGGCATGATAAAGTTTCTGTGATGGGCACCCAAGTGCCTGAAGAAATGCCCTTTTACTCGAACCTCTGTTTGGTTTTAATATCATCTTATTGAAGCTAACAAGTCGTTTTTTGAACAACTTTAAACGCATTGGACTGGACAGCATTAGGTTACCAAGTGGCATTGTGATTATGGTTATCCGTCCATGCCGGTAGTGAATGGGTTTGGACCCAACTCCTGTACAGCTGTGGAGGTTATCTTCTCTCTCCTCTACATTAGGCCTGAAACACTTCATCTCCAGTTACAAAGCTGTTGTGAAGCACAGCCAGTCTGAGCTCAGATTCCCAATAGGGCTGTTTTATCTCAACGCTTATGTTACATGGCTCCCTCTTTCGCACGCTGCTGATCTTTAAGCTGGAAGTGTTTTAATAGTAACAGGTGTCGAGTAGAAGAGGTGTGTGTGTGTATGTGTGTGTGTGTGTGTGTGTGTGTGTGTGTGTGTGTGAGAGA